TCTGTTTCGCTCTTTTCTGTGAAGCATACTCTATCACATGTTAAGCTGAATTGCTGCAGCACTTTTAATTTTGAAATTTATATTCTCAGCCGTTGAGTTTGGCGCAGATGAATGCCTTAGTCCAGACAGTATTCCAAAGGGGCAACCACTGCAAGCATTCCTCATCGAGAAGTACAATGGTGGTTTTGATTATACGTTCGAGTGCGTTGGACGAGTGGAAACAATGGTCCGTTTTTTTGCCTGTTGCAAATTTGCGAAAAAAAAAATGTGTTTTCGTGAAAACTTGAAAAATGGTTTTCTTTCAGTTATGCAAAGCTTTCGTTTCAAATTGCATTTTGTGCATTAACAAAACAAGTGTGATTAGCAGTATATAGGTACTGAAAGTTTAGAGGGTATTTTTTAAATTAGTTTTTGGAAGTTTTTTTTTTTGTTATTTCTTGATTTTAGCAACCGATTTTTGGCCCTCTGGGCAATTGTAATTGTCCATCTTTATCCTCGAAATTTAATTCTTATAGTCAGTTATGCGCTGAAACTGGGGCGGCCTTTGAACTACTGGAACATGGCGAAATTCACCGTGGGATTAAAAGAAATTAGTGCTGACCGGCAGTCATTAGCACACTAGAATGAGAGGGGAATAAGTCATTTTCTGCCTGAAATCGCGATTTTTCATTGCACTCATAAATTTTTTCCCTCAATGCAGTGCTTTACAAATAGCAAGAAATAAAATTAAACAAATATAGCACTAATAGAGTGGCCTGAAAGAAAATGTATGATCGTAGGAGGGATGAAAAGGAAAACAAAGTAAAAGGCAGAAACTAAAAGTGTAAAAAAACGGAAGAATATGAATATGGAAAGTCCAATTCAGGCATTCGCGAAGTTTTGCGCTCGTTTTTGCTATTTTCTTGTTCAAGATATGAACTGGCTTAATTGTCGGATTCCTGTGTCCTGGAAAATTTTTGCATGCATTTTAGCGTCAAGCACTTGAAGCTGCGCATAAAGGCTGGGGCGAATCGTGCATTCTTGGTGTTGCTGCAGCTGGGAAAGAAATTTCAACGCGTCCGTTCCAGCTTGTCACTGGTCGTACGTGGAAGGGAAGTGCTTTTGGAGGTAATTTTTTTTTATTTCTTGCTTTTGGCAGCCGATTATCATGACTTTTACATCTCACACATTTCACATTTTATTCAATCGCCAAGCAGGACTCGTAAATACTAGCATACATATATGTTGTGCGCTTGGTACATAAGAAGCGAAGCACAAAAGCAGCTCACAGCGTTTAAGATAGTACGTTAACTTACAGTGTCTGCCTAGGAGAGACCACAAAGCAGGGCGGTTAATGGTGCTAGCTGACTTTTCAGTTGAAGCTTAAAAAAGTATAAATGTCCACTTTTATCCGCGAAATTTAACTTATATAGTTAATTGTACTGTAGAATTGGAATGACTCTTGAGCTGCTGAACACTGCAAAATTCACAGTGGGACTAGTAAAAATCAGTACTGATCAACGGGCGATACCTGCAGTGAAGTTAACCTGGGAGGGAGTAGCAAAACCGAATTCCTATTGTATGCATTGCTTTTCCGCTGCCTTCTCTTCTCCCTGACCGAGACAGTAATGGTTGAGGAGAGGTGTTCGGCGGGTTAATTAGGGGCTGAAGGGTCATAGCGGTCCGGGCCAAATCCAGTTTCCCAGGAAGGAACAGTAGGAAAAAAAGAGAAAATCGGGGGATGCTGCTGACCAATATTTATAGTTCCACACCGCAGGCTTGGGCTTTCTGAGAATTTAATCTCATTTAAATCTTTGAAAATGGTCTGTTGTACAGACCTGTACATTAATGCAGAGGGAGTCTGGTGTTGTTAAACAGAGCGAATGCTTTACTAGAAAATCAGACCAACACACTTTCCCCAGTTTAACTTGCAGGCTTGCCGGGTGAAGTTCCTCCTTCGGTGTCCTGAATAGAGAATATCGTTGTTTCCAGTTGCAGTTACAGAAAATAATTTGGAACCGAATTAGCGCCGGGCATCTTAGATACAGAGAAGTACTAGGCAAAAGGCGATTCCTAGCAAACTGATTGCGCTTGTTCACCATGATCTCGAATATCCACATTCTTTAGGAGTACTGGGCCTAAAGCCTTTTGGTTGAAAAACATACATAAGATACAGTGCGCTCATACACTGCATGGGTTCCGGCTTTGACCAGCGTCCAGCACACATACGATGATAACACGGATTACAGTCATGCTAAAAATGGCCGATTAATTTTCGAGCTTCTTGACGATGCCAAGCAGAAATCAGCATTAAGTTAGTAAATCCTATAAATACGTATAGGCCTATCGCTTTTTATTCTTGCGCCTTGGAGTTACACGAATGAGTTTGGCATTGTGAAGAATCGGCGAGCTGCCTTCACCAGTGATACAAAGAAATAGTATAGGAAGAGCAGTTGTTCATCAGCTTTATCCGTTATTCGTTTTGCCCTGTAAATTGTATTTCATCTACTTGTAATCGCTTTTCAACTAGGTTATGTATGTGTGTGAAATTTCAGGTTGGAAAAGTGTCGATAGTGTCCCGAAACTTGTTGAGGAGTACCAGAAGGGTAAAATTGCGCTTGATAAATTTATCACTGGCCATTATGATTTATCACAGATCAATGAAGCATTTGAATCGTTGCATTCCGGCCAAGGGTATTTTTTTCCTTCCTTCCGTTTCTTTTGAGAAATTGATGGTGGCAGCAACTGGTTAGATTTGATAATCGCATTGGTAAGAAAGCAGTTATTAACGACAGCACGAAGCTCAGCTTTCTTCGCTCAACACTGAGCAGATGTCAGAAAATGCGGTGCTTCATCTCCAGTTATTACCAAAATTCTGTCTTTATTATTTTTCACCATGACCAACTTCATTTTTCAGTTTGCGTTCAGTCATTAAAGTGGCGAAAACTTGAACAAGCTGCGGACCCATTACTGCACTGAATCGTTTTCACAAAGTATCATCATCACATGTTCCGGATAAATGGTCGCATATCAGTGTAGTGATGTAGACAAATTCGAAGTTCTTGCTACTTACCAGTCACTGTTTTTTATTCATTTTCCACATTTTATGTTTTATTTTTTATTTTTTCACTTCAGTTATTATTTGTGAATTTGCAAATTTTGCTATATACATTTCATTGAAAGTGTGGGAAAGCACCGCATTTATGAAGCTGTGTCTCTTACCAGTCACGGAGCATGACGATTCTTCTTTAGCTGTACGATAGTTTTTTTTTTTTTGATCCCAAAACTATCACTGGAAAAATAATCCAGTGATTGTTTGTTCAATCGCGCAATTTGCGAGCCTTACAAGACAGAGGCCTCAAATCACCTGCCTGACTTAGTTTATCCCTATCACGACTGCCTAGTAATTTTATCATTCTTATGTTTCTTATTTATGATAGCCAGATCAATGAACACATTTTTTTTTCCGAGGCTCTTCTGCGATATATGATTTTTGGTAAGAAGCGAAGTAGATGCACTGGAAA